CAGCCAGATCTGCCCCAGTGGCAGGGGTTATATCCCTGTGGAAGGGACTGTGCTCTTTGGACAGACGTCATACACAGGTACCAGCACCTTTTCTTCTTCCCTCTCTGCAGGCTCTGGGCTACTAGAATGGTTGTCTGTACCTCACACAAGCTCTGAATTGGTTCATGTGGTTGAGGGAGGGGTGGGTGAGATTCTGTGGCCTTCACTGTGCAGGGGGTCAGACTAGATGATCATAATGGTCCCTTCTGACCTTAAAGACTATGAAACTATGTGAGCCTGAGAGGCCAAGTATGTTGCCTGGAGAATAGACCACTCCACTTACAGAAGAGTGCCAGCTGGGAGAAAATGTCAGAGGTTGCTATAAAGACAGGAAAACTGACACAGAAAGGAGAGGGGCTGGAGGGAGAGGATTTTCTGACACCAAATTAAATCCCTCTGGAAACTGTAGAAGTGTCTATTTAAGAGAGAGAATGGACACACAGTAGGGTGGAAAGATATGAGAGGAAGCAGACACTGGTGATGAAATCAACAAAAAGCAAAGCTGAGGAGGGAAATAAACCAAAATGCTACAATTGTAAGATCACTAGTCAGATGATAGATTAGGTGGTGATTACCCCGTGAAGGCTGCTGACTGAACTTAAAAAACGTATAGGGGATATTGTAAGACGCTGGGAGATGGGAATCTTTTAACTGAGCATAAAAACAAAGAACAAGCTGATATAAAAACTAAAATGCTAGGGAAAGTTACAGGAAGTTACCACTAATAATGTATTGCATTCATTAAAGCTGATCAATGATGAAGATAACCAAAAGCACAGGAGAAGGTAAAATGTTCATAAATGGGTGACTAATTAGTAAACAGGGAACTGATATCAAAGCCATCAGCAGCTATGGTGATTACATTTAAGGGAAAAGCTTGACCTGAGACAATAATGCTAGGGTTTCAGGTATTCTGAACCAAGCCATATCCCTTAGATGTTGTAACTGCCAATAGTATGGGTATGTAGCAACTGTTTAAGGGAAAATGAAATGCAGTAAATGTGAGGGAGAGCATTCCTGTGAAAATTGTTTAAGAAGGACAGAGGTCACATGTAATAACTGTGGCGGTAATCACGCTCCAGCATACAGAGGGGGTGCGTCTAGAATGGCAAGATTTTGCGCAAAAGCACCTGCTTTTGCGCAAAAACTTGCCAGCTGTCTACACTGGCCGCTTGAATTTGCGCAAGAGCACTGACGTTCTAATGTAAGAATTCAGTGCTTCTTGTGCAAATACTTTGACGCTCCTGCTCAGGGATAAGCCCTCTTGCGCAAGAATATTTGCGCAAGAGGGTCAGTGTAGACAGGCACCTTAATTTTTTGCGCAAGAAAGCCCGATGGCTAACATGGCCATCGGAGCTTTCTTGCGCAAAAGCGCGTCTATACTGGGCACGGATGCTTTTGCGCAAAAGCATCCTTGCCAATCTAGACGCTCTTTTGCAGAAATACTTTTAACGGAAAAACTTTTCTGTTAAAAGTATTTCCGCAAATTCAGGCCAGTCTAGACGCAGCCAGGATGTATTGCAGCAAGACAAGCTAGTGAGAAACAAAAGACAAAAAGTGTTAATAATGTGCCTTATGTGGCAGCAGTAAAGCGACTCTCAAAGCATTAGGCGGAGAAGGAAAATTCCAGCAGCCCAGGATAAGAGGAATTGTGGGCACAGCCGTATTCAATAAAGATTATGATAAACACAGCAGAAGGAATAGATGGTGAGCTCTAGTAGTGACAAAATAAAAGATTAATTGTACATCACAGAGGAAAAATCAGAAAAAAGTGAATTTTTCAGCAAGGACAGTGGAAAGCATACTTATAAATTAGCAATTTGTCAATCGACCTTATGAAATTTTGAATGAAGTCAATGGTGAAGTGTGACTAGTAAGGAAATTTCAATCTTTTGCTGGAATGTGCACAGTTTTCTAGTACATGTTCAAGAACTAAACAAATATATCCTGGAAATGAAAGCTAAATCTGATCTCGTATGTATCCAGGAAACATGGTTGCTTGGAAGTTTGCTTATAATATTCTAAGACATAGTGCCTTTAGGCAAGACTGAAAACTAGGAAGAGGACAAGGTGTTTGTACTTTCATAAGGGAAGGATTATGCTGCATAGCAATGGAGAATGAAGAAGTAAGCCCAGAATATAATGTTGCTGAGATTCCCATGCAGAAGAGAAATATTTCTGTATGGCTTTATGAAGTCTATAACTCTTATGTGAAATCAGAAAGTTTGGAGCTATAAGAAATAATGAAGAATGCTAAATGACCATATGTTATATATGGTGACCTAAATAGTGATAATCAACTGTGGGGAAGTAAGACAACTGACAAAAATGGTGCATATTTAGAAAAGTTCATGAATGAAAACAATCTAGTTGTTTTAAACAGTGACACCTCAGATACATTCAGTGCAGCAGATGGTAGTTGTTCCTATTTAGGTGTGGGAATTGTAACAGCAGATACAAGTTGAACCTCTCTACTCTGGCACCCTTGGACCTGACCAGTGCCGAGCCAGAGAATTTGCCAAACCATAGGAGGTCAGTATTGTCTAGCAGCATTACCAACACTTCCACTGCTTACTGGGCTCTTAGAAGACATTTAGGGGTAGATTAGAGCTAAATAATAGCATAGAACAATGAGAGTCAGAACTGGTGGCTGTAAACAAACTTTATGGAATTGCAGGAAACTTGGCTACATCATAAGTGGACATCTGACTAACTAAAATCATGTCAGACCATGAATGTTGCCAGCCTAGGGATGTAAAAATGTGGTTAAAAATGTAACCGTGTAACAGCTAAAAAATCATAGTGGTTACGCAAGCAGGGGCTCTGCAGTATAAAGCTTAAATAAACAAATAAGCTTTATACCACAGAACCCACAGCAAAGCCTCCCCCGGAAACAAAGCTGCCCCCTTGGGAGCAGGACTGTCAAGGAGCCAGTGTGGAACCTGCAGGGGGGAGCTGCTGGGCTCACCACAGACAGGGGCTGTTCTAGCGGGTCTTGCAGGGCTGGCGCAGCCCCTTGCCCAAGGCGGGCTTCAGCCCCTATCAGTTAACTGGATCTGGTAAGCCTCACCCATTAATGGTGAAAAAAACCACAAATGGTCTGGTAGCACTTTATAGACTAACAAAACATGTAGATGGTATCATGAGCTTTCGTGGGCACAGCCCACTTCTTCAGATGACGTGGGCTGTGCCCACAAAAGCTCATGATACCATCTACATGTTTTGTTTAGTCTATAAAGTGCTACCAGACCATTTGTTGTTTTTTTCTGTAACAGACTAACTCGGCTACCCCCTGAAGCTCCATTAAGGGTGAGGCTTACTGGTTAACCAGTTAACCTTTTACATCTCTATGCCAGACCAGAGCATTCTGGCCTAGAAAGGTTCAGCCTGTATTGCAACTAAATGCAACTAGGAAATATATAAAGAAGAAGGAATGGGGAGCGATCATTTCCCTATACTTACTGTTTTTGAAGGGCAAGGGAAGGTTGAAGATAATGGAAAATTATCCACCTGGAATCTTAAGAAAGCTAACTGTGAGCTATTTAAAAGTAAATGTGCTGAATTTGTATGAGTGATGGCAGAGAATTTCAATGACAGTGTAATAAAGGAATTAATAGCAACCGCTACAGCAGCTATCCCTAGGATATTGAAACAAAATTAAACCCCCAGACTAAAAACTGAGCTTCATGGTAGAATGAGGAGTGCAAAATGGTGGGTAAAGAAAGGAACAAAGCCTACAAAAAAATGAAAAACACACTGACTAGTGAAGATCTCATGAAATATAGAAGTAAAACAATAGCACAAGGAATTATGAAAAATATAATAAAGAAAAAGAGTTGGAGAGGGTATTTTGGGTGGATAAATAAAGATACCGTGACATCAGAAATACATAGGCAAATTAGAGGAATGAATGGAATTCAGACTAAAGCTTTGTCTACGTTAGTACTTTTGTGGGCAAAACTTTTGTCAGTCAGAGTCAGGCATGTGAAAAACCACACTTCTGACTGACATAAGTTTTGCAGACAAAAGAGCGGATTTGGACAGTGTTGTGTTGGTAGGCGAGTGCCTTCCGCTTACATAGTTACTGTCACTTGTTGGGGGTGGTTTAACTATGCTGGCAGGAGAGCTGTCTCCTGGTGGCATTGAGCAGCTATATGGGAGACCTTACAGCAGCTGTAGCTGTAAGGTTTGCAGCTGTGCTGCTGTAAGGTCCAATGTGTAGACATAGCCTAAGAGTAGCCACATCACAGGTTTCATTGGAATTGATAAGATAGTAGAAGCTTTGATCACGAGAAAGCAGAAATTTTAGCAAAAACTTGTCAATTGGGTGAGTAATGATGGAAACCAGAGTGAAGTTTTCTATCAGATGGAAAGACAATTCATTGAAGAGAGTCATGATCTATTATGTACTTGATGTAAACATGAAGATACTATATTGAGTGGATGATTTTGTAGGGCAAACTGAGAAAGCTGTTGGTGTCAGCAAGAGTGCCACCAAGATAAAGATAATATATTTAACATAATGTGTAACTATCTCTCTGAAAGCATGTTGAGGTTTCTCTTGGAATTATATAACACTTGTTTGGTGGGGGGAGAGGAGAGATTTCCGTAGGGTTGAAACATGAAGTAGTAATTCTAATATGAAAACCAGGCCAGTTGCCCTTATATTCTGTTTGGATAAAATTATGGAGAGAATGGTGAATGAAAGATTGGTTACCTATTTGGAAAACAATGGCATCATGGGTGAGGTGTAAAGTTGTTTTAGGAGGTGAAGGTGCACCATTGATTGCATTGTTAAATTAGGAACTAAAATACACAAAAGTCTGAGCAACAAAGGTTTTATGATAGCTGTCTTTCTAAATATTGAGTCACATGGTGACATGCTGTGCAGGGACTGCTAGTTGTGCAAAGGAGATGCACTAGGAAAAAGGGGAAGAATATATGTGTATGGGTTAGAGAATTTTTGAGTTAAAGAACCATGAAGGTCAAAGTTGGGAACATTATATTGTCAAATATATACCGTATCAAAAATGGTACACCATAGAAAGTGTTATTTGTTAAATAAGATTGGGCTGATAAGTGCTGAGGTAGGAGTCACTCTATATTCACAGGTGACTGTGCTCAGTGGGTTAGAAGTAGGAATAGTGAGGTGGCAGAAAAGGGAATTAACAAAGAGTTACTAGAGATCTCTGGGGAAATGCACGGGGTTTTATGTTTTCCATTTGAGCTTTATAAAAAGGAAAGTTACAAACTATATATGTATGAAGAACAAATACTAAGAATTAAAAGGTTCAAATTCTTATTGCTAATATTTGATATTAAGTTACTCTGAAAAAAATCTTATCAACCAGCAGTTCTCAAATGACAGGGCGGGCCTCCGAAGGGAGGCGCAGGAATGTATCAAAGGATGTGTGCTTTCTTCTTTATCTTTGTAAGAGCTCTGTCTGTCAGCTGTGGCGGCTGGGGCTTGTGTAGAAGGGTCATGCATATGCAGGAGGCAGGGATAAAGGGTACAGCCAGAGCCCCCCCATCCTAGGGCTGACAGCCAGAGAGTACTGCTTGGGTGCCCCCTTCCAATCCCCCACTGGGAGTCGGGAAAGCCTCAGGCTCTCCCCCTGGCCCAAAATCCCTCACCTGGAGGTGGTGGGGCTCCAGATGTTAGCCCTGGAGTGACAGTAGCAACACAGAAGGGTGGCAATAGGTTGCTAAGTCTACTGTGAAAAGTGATACTGATAAATACTATTTTCCACATTGCCTTTCTTACTTCTGTGCTGCTGCTGGCATGGCACTGCCTTCAAAGCTGGGCACTTGGCTAGCAGCCGCTGCTCTCCGTTCTGGCTTCAGCACTGGGTGATGGTATATGTATTTGTGAGTGGGAGAGTGTAAACAACTAGAGACACAAAAAAGGGAACCTTATCAAATACATTTGTGAATCACTCTTATAAACTGTATTAAAGGAAAAATTAATCTGGTTATAAATCTTGCTGGGACTAACTGGGGGTGGATAAGAAAAAGCTCCTGTTGCTATACAGAGTTTTAATCAGAGCAGGTTAACTATGGCTGCCAAGCTTTTGGATCAGCATCAAAATCAAAACCTAAACAATTTGATTTTAATACAAGCCAAGGCACTACAAATTATGTACAGTGCATTCATTACAATACTTATAGGCACACTACAGATAGCTCCTAGGGAAATTCTATTACACTATGAATGAAACTACTGGGCTGTTGTTTGTGGGACTTTATTGTCCAGGAATGGATGGACTGAAACCACTACCTGACTGGAGGGCAATGGTAGAGGAATAGAGACAAACCCACAGGGTGCTTATTGGGGTAGGAGCTGGCTGTGCCACCCCAGCTGGGAGGAGGTGCTCTAGCCGTGAGTGCACTCCAGCATTGCACTGAGAAGTAACTCGCTAGGACACCTTTGGGATGGCGCTCTCTGGCCCTGAATTCAGCTGAATCAGTGGTGGGAAGTTCTGAGACAACACTGATAGACAAGGCTTTTTTTACTTCAAAAATCATGAGTGTGAGTGACTTCTAGCATTAAGCTGGCAATGCCCTTTCCAGGAGAAGCCTCTTCTTCCCATTGCATTTAACTCTAGCAAACTATCTTTCTGGGGCTGATATTTCTCAAGTTTGATTCCAACCAAGAGGCAAAGCTTTTTGGGAAGTTTTAGCAGAATCCATGCAGTGGTTTTTCATAGAATCATAGAATAATAGGACTGGAAGGGACCTCGAGAGGTCATCGAGTCCAGCCCCCCGCCCTCAAGGCAGGATCAAGCTCCGTCTACACCATCCCTGACAGATGTCTATCTAACCTGTTCTTAAATATCTCCAGAGAGGGAGATTCCACCACCTCCCTTGGCAAGTTCTGCCTGTTTTGAGTTCTGCCTGTTTATAAACCAGACTTCCAGTCTGTAAAAGTTTAGCTCTTTCTCCTCCTGTTTTGCCGAGCTGGACTCCAAGCTTGTGGGTTTGGAATGTGGAGTTGGCTCTGGCTCTTTAGCTTCATGGGCTGGATTTTAAAACCAGTTAAAAATATATTTGTGCAACTTGTTTGTGTGCACACCTCAGGGAATTGTACATGCAATATCCATAATGAGCCCTATGCCCACGATTTCCCCTTTGCCCATGGATGATTCCCTGCCCCTACTCTACTTGCAGGATATTCCTCTCTGCCTGAGGTCAAGCCCTACGTGCTGAGCTGGTTTTCCCCAGCCTTGGCTCATTTGACCCCTGGGGTGGAAGGAACAGGTTCCCTTGCTGGCTGCAAGGTGCATTGCCTCTGTGACTGACACAACCTCCCCCACCCTCTCTCTTGGCAGATGCTGACGAGTGTGAGATGTTTGGCCCTGAGATCTGTCGGAATGGGCATTGTATGAACATAGTGCCAGGATACAAGTGCTTTTGTCGCTCTGGCTATGTCTTCGACTCCAGCCGGCTGGAGTGTGTGGGTGAGATGGCCCTTCCCATCTGGGTGGCTCCTCCCTCTCTCTGTCTGGGCCTTTACGCTCCTCACTGCGGGAGGCAGGCCCATTCTGTCCTTATGTCCCCCTTTCTGTGTGGCTGGCGACACTGCTGGTGCCCATGTTATGTGTAGGTTGTAGTGTCCTCCAGGTCCTCATATGGAGACAGGGTGGTGCAAGTGTTCCCTGCGGCCTTCACACAGTGTGTGTTAGGGATGTGACTGGTTAACCGGTAAGCCTCAACCTTAAAGCTACTAGCATCTCCCACTGGCTGCTAGGTGGAAGCGTGGCTTGGGACTCAGGGTGCTGCCCCTGCTTGCAAGCATTGCACCTATGGCTCTCATTGGCCATAGTTCCTGACCAATGGGAGCTGCAGAGCTGGTGTGTGGGCTGGGGACAGCACACACAGTGCTCATGGCCATCCCTATACTCAAAAGCCACAGGAAGTTGCTGGCAGCTTTCTGGAAGATGCACAGAGCTGGGCAGGCACCTTACCTGTCCCGCTGCAGGCATGAGTGGTGCTGACTGAAGCAGCCAGGGTCCCTTTTCGAGTGGGCATTCTGGCAGTTTGGCGAGCCTTCCAGTCCGATCCACTGACTTGGTACCCAAAATCCTATTACTGCGGGTGATGCAGGTGGGGAGGGGCCGAGTTATCACCTGCACCAACCCCTGCTTAGCTGGGGCTGCGTCCTACCTTCATTGGGCAGCTGCAGCTTCCCACCCTGGCTCCAGTCCCATGCAGGGAGTGGGGAGAGGGGTAAAGCAGTGAGTGACAGAGGGAGGGGGAAAGAGGAGCAAACGGGGGATGAGGTCTAAGGGGAAGGAGTAGGGTCTTTGAGAGAAGAGGCAGGGTAGAGATGAGGCCTGGTGGCATAGGTGGTGGGTGAAGGTAGGAAAAGGAGAGACAAGCCCCCAGCCCTGCCTGTCAGCCCCACCCTAAGCCCTTTGTCCAAGCCCCAGCCCCATGGGCACCAACCCCCCCCCCCCTCCTGCACCACAGGGAGGGCGGCCAGCACCAGGCCCCAGCCTCCCTGTTCCAGAGAATGCGGTCCCAGCCTCCCCAACCCCGGATCATGGGAAGGGCGAGTGCTCAGGGACAGCAACACTCTGCCCTCAGTACACCTACAGGAAGCGTTCTATGGGCGGAGAATGGGTGGGACCAGTCTGGTGGTTTGGGAAGGCAAAGCCTTCCTCCGCCTATGATACCTGCCGCTCCTGCCTGGAGGGAAGGGGGGCAGAGGCAGGCCCTCAGGGGAAGGGGGATTTTCAGCATGCCTGCTGGAGTGTCTGGCTTTTAAATATTACAAAGCGGGCAAGCTTAGGTGGGGGGAGGGGTAGCAGAGGCGCTTCATGGAACAAGAGTTGGGTGGTGCCCTTGCTTGCCAGTGTAACGGTGTCTCTCCCGTCCTGTGGTTGCAGATCAAGATGAGTGTGAGAACGAAATGTCCTGCGTGAATGGCGAGTGTCTGAACACAGATGGCTCCTTCCACTGCTTCTGCAGCCTCCCCCTGGTGCTGGATGTGACCCGCAATCGCTGCATCAATGTCTCAAACAGGGCAGGTGAGTGGGGCTAGTGAGCAGGCTGAGTGCTGCTTCTGGGCCTCACGGGAAGTGGGTTTGCATGATCTGCACCATCATGGCCTGAGATTGCAGGACAAGCTGTGTCCCAGGCCCCCTTGATGCAAGCCTCTTCGGAGTGGGAAGCATTGACATAAGGTGGTGGCGTAGCCCACAGGCAACATGGTGCTGCATGCAGGGGAGCAGGAAGGACAGGGTGCAGGGCCAGACTCAAGGGGTATATTGCATGCAGGGATCTGTGGAGGACCTGGGGATTGCTGTACATAAGGCATGTTGTGGTGGGCTGTCTGGGTCTGAAATTCAATGCATGGCATTGTCGGGTGTCCAGTTTTAAACTAGAACTCCCAGTTCAAAAGGTACCCTGGTGGCTCTGGTCAGCACTGCTGACCAGGCTGTTAAATGTCCAGTCAGTGTGCAGTGTTGCAAAGACAGGTTCCCTGCCTGCCTTGGTACCAAACGGCTCCTGGAAGCAGCTGACGTCTCCCTGAGGCCTCTTGGCACAGGGGTGATCAAAGAAGGTCCACAAACTGCCCCCCTCCCTGAGCACCAGCTCTGCAGCTCCCATTGGCCAGGAACCACAGCTAGTGGGAACTATGGGGATGGCACCTGTGGGTGCAGGCAGCACTCCCCGGTCACACCTGCATCTAGGAGCCAGACACAGCAGCTATTTTGGGGAGTCACTCTGAGCCAGGTCAGGCAAGGAATCTGTCTTAGCCCTTGCTACACCACTGACCAGGAACCACCTGAGGTAAGTGCCACCTGGCCGGAGCCTGCATCCCTGCCCATGTCCCAACCCCTGCCCCCAGTCTGAATGCCCTCCTGGAACTCACACCCCAACCCTGTGCCCCAGCTCTTAGCCCCTTTCCGCACCCCCAACCGCTCATCCCTGGCCCCTTTCCAGAGGAAGGGCCATCCTTACCAATCTGCAAAATATGCATCTGCGTAGGGCACTATGAAATTTGGGGCACCTGCCTGCTTTAGTAGCCAGCCCCATCCCCCTGCTGCCCCGCCTCATGAGCTGTGCCCAGCAGGGGTCATCTCTAGGCATTGAAAGATCTGGGACAATTCCCTGGCCCACCCCCATCCCACTCTCACTCCGCACCTTCCCCTAGCGATGCAGCTTGGGGGAACAGCAGGGGGTGTGGTGCCAGCAGCAGGGATCTCCTCCACCCCTCACTCACCACAGACGGGAATTGGAGCAACCTGGTCCCAGCCCCCTCCTTTTCATTGGCTCCCAGCTGTGTCGCTCCTCTTCCTGCCACCAGTGAGTGCTGGGGGCAGTGAGCCTCCTCTCTTGAGCTTCTGTGAATTGTTCCTCTGTCCCTCTGCTCTCCTGCCAGGAGGGAGAGGAATGCAGGCAGGCTGTGTAGATTCCCATCACTCCCTGATAGTGAGGGGAAGGGGAAGAAGAGCAAGCAACATCCTGGTATGTGCTTCTGCAGCCCCCCGCCTTCCTGAAAGGGTGCCCTTATGGGCCCAGCACTTTCTTAGGGGATCCCAGGAGACCTAGGAGATGTCCCCATGGCCTCCTTTCTCTGCCTCCCTAACAGAAGACCTGGATGAACATGAAATCCACCTGGACATCTGTTGGCAGAGAGTCTCCAACTACATCTGTAACCAGCCACTGCGGGGGCGACAGACCACGTACACCGAGTGCTGCTGCCGCTATGGCGAGGCCTGGAGCCAGGACTGTGCACTCTGCCCCCTCCGGGACTCTGGTGAGAATGCACAGCCACAGGAATGATACCTGAGGACAGGTTGGCTCAGGGACTGTGCAGCCTTTGGCCACCAGGCTCCTGCTAGTTAGACCCTGCAATGGGGAGCAGCGAGGGAAAGGTCACTGTGGGCTGCGTGAGTGGAGAGAGGGCTCTTCCAGCAGACCCCAGTGAGCAAGTGTTCACATCCCAGAAACCAGCCCTGCAATCTGTCATCAAAAGGCCCCCTTATTAGCAGCCAAGGACCGAATGGGCCACCGGGAATGAATTCTCCTGTTGTTCCCAGGGGAGTTCCTGGGCTGAGGTGTGCTGGCAGAAGTGGCATGCAAGTCCTTTGCTTGATGGTATCTGAGTGATGGCACTTAGTGTCACAGCACCCGTAGTACTGCACTGAGGCATGGGTGTTAGTGCCAACTCTGAGCAGTGCGTCTGCTTCTCAGACACCCTCACTCCCTCTGGCAGTAGCTATGTGTTCTCGAGTAGGAGGGTTCCCGTCCAACCTATGTCTACACTGCCCCCATTTTGTGCAAAATACATGCAAATGAGGCAAAGAGTGGAATATTGCCACGCCTCATTTGCATAATTAATTAGACTGTTTTTGCACAAGAGGTTTTTGCACAAAAAGGAGCTATCTACACTGCTCCTTTTTGCACAAAACCCCCCTCTTGTGCAAGAGCCGTTCTGCATTTTTTCAGGATTTTTGCGCAAAAACGGAGCCTAATTAATTATGCAAATGAGGTGCAGCGATATTCCACGCTTTGCCTCATTTGCATATTTTTTGTGCAAAACGGGCAGTGAAGACATAGCCCAAGAGAGTACAATATTTTCCTGGTAAGATCTGACCCAGTACCAGCCCAGACAGCTCTTTGAGGCAGCTATCTAATGCCCTTGGTCATGGCTTGGAGTGTTAGTTCCTCATACCTTGCATTTCCCATAACAACCCTGGGATCCAAGGAGGAAGCCTCTTGCAAGAGCTGGACACAGGAAAGTATCTTCCCTCTGGCAAATTCCAGCAGTACAGCTTGAGAGCCTTTTCCCGCTGCTTACAGATGCCCTAGCTCTGCCTGGCCCCAGCTCCTCCTGGGCTTGGCTTAACTTGGCCCAGCCTGAGACCATCCCTGATGCAATCCCCTTCCCCCACTTGGCTGATCCCTGGACAGTCAGGGACCTATCCTCCTTTGTACCATGGTGCTAAGCTACCCCTTCCCTTTCTTTCCACCCCCAGAGGACTTTGCTCACCTGTGTAACGTGGGCAGGGGAGAGACTGAGAGGGAGGCTGGACTTCAAGAAAGGCCTGGATACGAGTATGGACCAGGCCTAGAAGACCCTCATTATGGACTGTATAGCCCAGACCTAGGGACCTATTACAATTTCCTGAGTCCTGAATATGGAGCCCCCGATGTCAGCTTCCCCCAGAGAGAACCAAGCAGCGAAGCTGGTGGCAGCACATTCCTACGCACTCCTCCTCAACTCCATCCAGCACAGTCCCAGCCCCGCTACCTGCCCAGCCAAACTGGTGAGTACTGCAGAAAAGTAGGAGGTATCCTGGTGGCTTCCTTAGGTTCAGGCTATGCTCAAAAAGTTACTCCCACCCCCTTCTCCAAAAGCCAGGCAGGACAGGAGCTCACCTGTATTATCCAGACCAGTATCCTTCATATCTGCTGCTGTGGCCTCTTTACATGGCTCGCCTGCCAGTGTGCTGGTCTGCGCTTCCCCTGTGGGCAGCCAGCCTCTCTCAGAACTTATTCCCTGCAGGCTAATGACCTCTCTGTATCCGCAGGGCATTTCGACAGCTTTGAGGGACTCCAGGCAGAGGAGTGTGGCATTCTGAATGGCTGTGAGAACGGGCGCTGTGTGCGTGTGCGCGAGGGCTACACCTGCGACTGCTTTGACGGCTTCCAACTGGACATGGCCCACATGGCGTGTGTAGGTGAGTGGCCCCAAGTGGTGAGAGCGTTAGCTTCACAGAGGCCAACTCTCACTTGCCCTCCCCCATAGCTGGGCTCCCTGTGCTCAGAGGCTGGTGCTGGTGGCTGAGCTCTGTAGCTCCCAGACACTTCAGCTGGGGAGCTTAGCACATTCGTTGCCAGCTACTGCCCCCTAGAGGCACTGCCCAGGAATGGCCTTGGGGAAGCAGCGTGAAACATTCTCCCTGGCTGCTGCCAGACCCACACTGACTGTGTTCCCATCACAGAACTGCAGAGGAGAGAGCCAGGCTCCAGGGGTCCAGGCAGGAGGGCCCTTTCCCTCAGCACCCAGAGCCGTCACTCTAGTCAGGGCATCAGCCACATTCCTGGCACGTGCAGCTGAGCAGCAAGTCTGAGCCAGCATCCCAAGTGCCCTCCACAGGTTATACACCCAGGCTGAAGCTGAGGGGAGATTTATACAAGGTCTGGGTCTGTCATGGGAAGGGCAACCCCTGCCCACTCAGTATGGAGATGGTGGGTGCTATGGGGAGTGAGAGGGAGCCCCACTTCCTCAGTAGGGTGGGGAGCTGTGGGGAATGAGCTGATGGCAGCACATTCCTACACACTCCTCCTCAACTCCATCTAGCATAGTCCCAGCCCCGCTACCTGCACAGCCAAACTGGTGAGTACTCAGTATGGAAAGGGACTGGGGTCAATGAAGGGGGAACTCTGCTTGCTCAGTACCAGAGGTGGGGGTGCTATACAGAGAACCCTGCTTGCTCAGTGTGTGGGGGGGAAGGGACTGTGGGGAGAAACAAGGAAAACTCTAAGTTAGCTCGGAAAAGGAGAAGGCATCTAGGAATCAAAGCAAGAGCAGAGAACAGGTTGGAGGTATGTTTGCACTAGCCGGTCTGAGCAAGCTCCCTGCGGTGCTAGAACACCATAAGCACTGGTGCAGATAAGTACAGGTTCTTTGGCCACTTGTTACATAGCAGTACACTCATCAGGTCTAATCAACATGGTGTTTAAAAGCCGGTGACCCGTGGGCCTCCTCTGCACTAGCACTCCTGTCCCAGAAAAGCTGGTGGAGACAGAAAGCCTCCATCAGTCCTCTGGAACAGCTCTAAGGTTATTAAAATGCTCATTTGTTTGCTTAGTGCAAGGTTCCTTGCCCGTGTTTTGGTCCCAGAGGTGATAATCGGCCTCTTTCAGGGCCATCCCAGAGGTGCCCTTGTTTCTATTTCCCAGTGACCTTGTCAAATCAGCAAGAGAAATTTTGCAAGACCAGAATGATCCTTTCCCCCAAATCCATTCCTAAGCGAGGCAGCACAGTGAATTCTTCTTGGTGATCTGTGTGCGTACAGGGGCAATGTCAATTGTGGGGAAGTCTTTTGTGGCCTGGAGGTACTGGATGTGAGAGAGCCCTATGCAGCGTGAGGTTGCTGGGTATGAGGGAGCACTGAAGCACAGACACACTGGAGGTTGCACTGCAATGAGGGTACTGAGTTTGGGGCAACACTGCGTGGCTTGGAGGTCACTGTGCATAGAGAGCTGAGTGTCATAGGGGTTCTGGGTTTGGGAGGTTTGGTGACCCCTATTCAGCATGGAGATCCCAGCCATGAGGGGTTGGAGAGTTCTTTGCAGTAGGGAGGCTAGGGGTGGGGGAGCTCTGTGTAGCATGGAGGTATGGAGGATGGTGTGATGTCAGGGTCATGGAGGTGCTGGGGTTGGGTGTGTATTGTGCTGCAGATCATGGCTTTCAGGCTTTTTCCCCCTTGCTTTTCCTTTCAGACATCAATGAATGTGAGGAGGTGAGCAGCCCTGGGCCCCTGTGTGAGGGCGGCACCTGTGAAAATACAGAGGGGTCCTACCGCTGCAGCTGCTCACCTGGCTTTGTAGTGCTGGCTGAGCCCCACCGCTGTGCTCCTGCACCCACCCAGAGCCGGGCAGCAGCACAGCTTTAGGGAACCGACGGGGCAAGCGTGGCCCCCTTCAAACATTCTGCTGGTACCTGGGATCCATTGGCTGCAGCAAGGTCTCCTGGGATTGCAGCAACTTTGAGGCACTTTGCTCATCTCCCAAAGCACACAATCTTCTTGCCACACCTTGCCCAGCTGAGCCCATAGGGACACAGTCTAGGGCAGAGCTCCATCTTCCTTCTGGTCTGCTCACCACCAGCCTCCTGCTTGTGTCACAACATGGGTACTCCCCACTTCCTCCACCAGGCCTTCCTCTTCCCCTCACTGCACAGACCTGTCAGGCTCACCATTACTGATATGGCTAAGCAGGCCTGAAAATAAGGAACTCTAGTAGCTGAAGCTGCAGAAGGGCAGCAGCTGCCCCCTCCCGCGCCCCCATCTCCTCAGTAATGGGTGTAAATAGCTGAGAATGGTGTGGAAGACTTAGCCCCTTTCCCCCAGTACCTGATGGAAGGGTTGATAATTTGTCATGGTGTCCTACTTGAGGGCCCATGGGACATTTCTTCACCCTGCTGCCACCCCTAGGCCAGAGCCTTCATAGTTGCTGATGCTACCCCTCACTGCTTTAACTGGTGTTTTTGTTCTGCCCCAAGGACAACCTGGTGCATGAACCCTAGGCCTGGGAGTTTGAGTGTGAGGAGGGCCAGCCTCAGCTTTGTACAGCTGCTGCCTGACTTCTGGAGGTGGCTTGGATGTGGAACCCAGTAGGTTTGAAAGGCCTAGGGACCCTGTTCTCCCTGCATCTATCCGGGGCACAAGATTTTCACCCCTGCACTTTGTACAATTGCCTAGCAGTAGGATGGGGTTCTAGCTTTGTAAAACTGTTGGTGGCTTTTCCCAATGGAGTCTGCTAGAAACATCTGTTATTGTTAAATAAAAATTTTATTTTGGGCCCTGTGGCTCAGACATTGGGGTTAGCCTAACAGTTCAGTCCCTGTTTTCTAGTAGTTGTTGCCCATACTCTCTCTCTAGGGGGAGGTAGCCCTTTTAAATATCCTGAAAGGATATTTTAATACTAGCTGGTGTGTAGCCTTAACTCCTGCTGCTTTTCCTTTCACATAACCAAGGAGAAATAATATTGCCAGAGCCTACTGGCAGGCGGGACCCAAGCTGCTCCCTCACAGCAGCTTGTTGCGGCACTGGGTGCATCTTCAGCATGAGAGCTCAGCTACAGTGGCTCCCCATCACACAACGCAAAGCAGCAATTTGAGTCTTTATTAAAAGGCAAGTTATAAAAAGAGGTTAGGGTTTGAAGAGCTCCCCATATGAGCGAGGAGACAGTGCAAATCACGCGTTAGTAAGAATCATCCCTGTGGCAATGCTGCGGGCAGTTGGGAGAGGAAGCATTCTCCCAGCTGCAGAGTTGCTAGCCACCACTAAGCCGCCTTTGGCTATGGGTAGAGATGCTGGGCACAGGAACACTGATCATGACGGAGCAGGAGAAAAGCAGACAGGGGGATGCAGCAGCACTGCATCATGACAGGCACTGAAGAGTTAACAGGCAGCTGCTGACATCAGCTCCATTGCATTGCAGAACAAGATCCCTGTATGATTAAAGTAGCCAAAGACTTCCAGAGCTCCAGCAATGTGGGATGCTCTGCTGTTTAGCCACTGCCACCAATGGCTGCCATACTTTGCTTCCCCTCAAACGGAGATGGTGCAGCTGCTGCACCTCCCTTCTGGCACAGCACAATACCAGCTGCTTGGAAGCTGCAGAATTTTGAAGCAGATGCCAGGAAATGCCCATTATTTAAGAAGAGTCTGACCCATTTTTTCCCCTCCTACACCCTGCCTTCCCCCAAAGCGAGGCACAGGGCTCCTTAGCTGGTGATCTGCACAGGTATCTTCCAGCAGAACAGCATGTCGCCTTGGTCATCCACCAGCTCCCACATGACGATCAGTTTAATCTGGAAGAGAAAGGAAATGAGTGTACAGTGACTTGCTGGCCCTCCATCATGTGGGCAGTCGGAGTTTGTGGGATGGGGAAGGAGAGAACCCACCTCTCTGCCCTGATAATGGGAGGAACTGCTCCTCTGGAAGCAGACTGGGAGCCAGGGAAGCTGTAGCAGGCTAATTCCAGGTATACTGTACTCCCAGAATATCTTTCCTGACAAGCAGGGCTGATTGGGAGCTCACCAGAGACTCCTTCTCCATTCCACACCCCTGTGGTGATAGAGGGCCTTGTGTTCTCTCAATTGAGAGAAGTCCTGGTGCTTTGAGCTGAAGTTTTCATTAAGCCCTCCTACCACTGGGAGACAGGAGCTGGGCTCTTTGGGAGCCACAGGCTCTAGAAGGTGATTACCTGGAAGCACACTTGCAAAAATCTTCCCCAACCCTAGCAGCAACAAAGCTGCTGCCCCTGACAAGTCCAGCCTAGGATCGGGAATTGGAGATGGTCATGGAGAGAATACCACCTGGAGCAGAGATTACTCCTGACATGTGATCTTAACAGCGCCTTTTTCCTGAGCCTCCACCCATGCACATGCTATCCCCAAGGGCCTCCTGGCTCAAACCCGTGCTTTGGGGCTGAGCCCCGACCAGACTGGGTAGCTCTGAAACCTGGAGCTGGCCTGGGGATCACTTACATTGGGATATTCGCTTTTCACAGGTAGCTTGTTGAGGTAGCTGTAGGAACGACCTTTCTCAATGGGGCACTGGATCCCACTCTTACATCCATCAGGCTCAGGGATGGGAAAGGGTATGTCCACATGGAGCATCTCCCCATATACCTTGGCTTTGCTGCCCTGGCTCTCGATCTCTGCAGAACAGGGAAAGTCATGAGAGTGAGAAGAGCAGTCCCCACAGAATACCATTTCTATCCAGGGCAGTGTCCTTTGTCAAGTGGCTCATAGGGATGCATTCTAGGATGAGGTCATCAATAGATGCTTTTCATTTCCTCTGAGGACACTCCTCAGCCATCCTGCCCCACTCCTCCAACTGCTGCAGGCAAGTCCCAGGGGTGAAAAGTTGTTACCTCCCTTCTGCCCTTCCATCTCCACCCACCGCTGCAAAGAAGCTCACACCCTCAAGTAACAATTTCTGTCCTTACTGCTGGAGAAGGTGACATTGACACTGTAGGACTGCCCTTTGTGGAGCTGGCAGGGTTGTGTGGGGCAGGGGCTCACATTCACTTCTGTGATGGTTCCATCTTTGGAGCCTGAAAGAATAAAAAGCAGTTGGTCATTCCAGGCTGTTTCCCAAAGCCAGAGGCCTCCAGTCAATATACAATAACACCCAGTCCTAATGTACATGACAGACACTGCCAATGCCAAACACGACAGAATGCACACACACCCTCAGAAGGAAAGAGTTTTGGAGACTAATGAGGCCTCAGACAGACCTACTGTGTGAACAAACTGGAGAGAGAGAGAGTCCAGAGCCATTCAACAAAAATAAGTTTAGAAAATATGATCAATGCCAATTCTCACGTCTGGTCTAAAGAGGAGAAGGCTGAGCAGGGACCTGGATAAATCTTAAAATATGTAAAAGGTTGTTAAAGGGTAGTGTGTGATCAATTGTTCTTCATGTTTACTGGGTGTAGGACAAGTCGTCATCATCCTAGTCTGTAGCAAAAGAGATCCAGATTGGACAAAAGCTTGTTAATGATGAGGATAATTAAGCAATAGAAAGGTTAACAAGGGAGGCTGTGGGATCCTCATCAGTGCAGATTTAAGACAGGCTGGCTGAAAACTCCTGTTATGAATGGGCTACATTGGAGGTTCTCAACCAGGGATACGTGTATCCCCTGGGGTTACACAGAGGTCTTCCAAAGAATACATCAATTAATGTTTGCTTAGTTTTACAACAGGCTACAGAAAAAAGCACTAGTAAAGTCCATACAAACTAAAATTTCATACATTGACTTGTTTATACTGCTCTATGTACTATACACTGAAATGTAAGTACAATATTTATATTCAAGTGATTTATAATTATATGGTAAAAATGAAAGTAAGCAATCTTTTGTAATAGAGTGCTGTGACACTTTTGTATTTGATGTCTGATTTTGTAAGCAAGTAGTTGAAGCGAAGTGAAACTTGAGGGAATGTGAGACAAGTCAGGCTCCTGAATGAGATACAGTAGTCTGGGAAGGTTGAGACATTGCTCTAGGTTTACTTAGCCCTGCCTCAGCAGAGAAAGTGAGAGTGGGGAGGATGATGGACTAAATGGATGTTTGGGTCAAATGTTAATGGTGTTGCATTGTTCTGGACTGCTCCTGCAGAGTACTGATTTAATATGGGACCACTGCTTAAGGAAGTGTAAAAACCTGGATGGGCATGTCCCCCCCCCTTCCCCCCCCCCATTGGCACCACTTTATTTGGTTATAAAGAGTGCTTTTCAACAGGCCATAGAGAAAGAAAAAACCTGCTCTGGAATACAGGGAAGCATGAAGTAGCCAGGTTAGCAGACTGGCATGCTGGGATGTAACAGGTGGAGTTTCATGAGACGGCAGCACAATGTACCTCTCCAAGCCTTTTAACTACATTCGCAGCAAGTCAGTGCCACCAATGAGGGCAGCATTTACAATGATGAAGGAGATTAACACTTAGGATTGGGAGAGACTATTAGAGACCTACTGCAGCTCCCTGGTACTAACATAGGATTGTTCCCCACCTGTTCTAGTCAATGGTCTCCAGTGATGGACCTTAGGACAAGGTAGGAGAAAATACCAGGTGAAGTTCAGTGACTACAGGGGAAGATGGAAATACCCACTTCTGTATGTAGATAAGCAGGGCTAAAGACAAGAAGGGAAGATTGGGCATAGTGGGAAAGTTGGTACAGAGATTCAAGGAGGGAGAATCATGGTTAAGAACAGTCAGAAAGGAAGATCGTGTAGGATGAAATGAAGGGAGAGGGAGGATTTGCAATTCTCCTAGCAGGAAAACAGCAGAAGATGAACTAGCAGATGAGTAGCAGAGAGAGGAAAGGACACTGGTAGCAGAGAAGGGACTTAGAAGTCTACACTGGCCTTGGCAGGAGAGAAAGGAGGTAACGCTCTTTGCTTAGTGACAGACATGACAGTCGTGTCCACAGAGCAAGAAGGGGGACTACTAAAATTGCAAAGTGTCCTCACTGTGAATTCTAGTACCTGTGAAGGGCTGTGACTATACAAACATGTGCCCTGAAATACAAATCCTTCACAACAGGGAACAAACAGGAGCTTCGCTCTCTGCAGTCACTACCCACTGTTCACAGACAAACAGCAGCAGAGCCTGTCAAGACTGAATGGGGCAAGGAAAGTTTAGTAATATTTTTAAGGTAGTGTTTTACCTCGGAGCACTGCAGTGCAGCACAAAATCAACTAAAAACCTCCCTAGTGTCTAAAGATCCTCCTCAGCAACTGTAGTGCCTTCAGTGGGTGGGCATGCACTAGGCAAGCACTAAAGACAGGAGGTGAAAGACAAAGAGCATTATTTATCAATGCCAGTCTCTTACAAAGTACGTTTATGACAAAGTTTTAGAGTTTTCTGGCTTTAACTCAGTTACTGGCATTTCAGTTAAAGTTTAGTAACATACAGGTGACCAACACAAAGCAGCCTTGGGGATATCTTTCTAATTAGCCGAAAATGTTCTGTCTCCCTCTGTTCTCAGCCTTTGAGAAAGAGCAGTCTGTCATATCTTGTTTATAGAGACCAGAGGTGAATTAGATTGGAGGGAGGGAAGGTCACTTCATCTCTTTATCTCCCCCACTCCCTATCATCCTTTAGTTTAACAAACACTGTGTCAAATGTGACTTCCCCATATCAGCTAGATAGTGAGCCATGGTTCATATAAAAGCCGATATACAATGTATGTGTTGGTTTATCAAGAGCTGTGGCATCATCCATTATGATTCCTAAGTCTCTCTCAGCTTGGCTGGTCACTGGTTTCTCCTTCCTCCAAAATGGTGTGGTGGTATATCACTCTAGGAACCTCTCTCAACCTTTAGGTATCAAAGTATTTTTTAAAAATAGCCCTTTTCTGCCCTAGGCTTCTGTAGCTATGTCTACACTACAAGATTATTTTGAAATAACTCCCTAAGTAACTATTTCAAAATAAGCTTATTCCCCAAGGGGAAATGAGTTGTTTCAAAACAACAGGTTTGGTAGTGTGGATGCTCTGCTTGTTATTTCAAAATAACGGGAGTTATTTCAAAATAACTCCCCAGTGAAGACATGTCCTAAGTTATTTCTCTGTCCTGTGTAGCATTTCAGAAACTAGACAATGTAGTGCTATTGCTCAACTTTACTGATGTGCTCTTTAAGCACCTTTCTGATTAGTGAGATTGATCTGGCCACATCCCATTTTGTGGAACAATGTAGCTTACAGAATCCCACTGGACACAACCCCTAATTTAGTATCTTGCCATTTATCATTACCTTTTGTTCATGGGCTATCATCACAGCAGCCTCTCTACCAGAAGCAGGGCTATTCAGTACAAAGTGCATTACAAGTCCCTTTGTGAATTTAGCTTGTTAGGTGCCTAACTGGTCCTTTCAGTACAACACTTGGGTGCCACTGGCACTAACAAAACCCTTGTTCAGCTGCTGCCTCACCCTGTGGGCACCAATGGGAATTGAGGCTATTTCTACCAGTGGCCATGCACAAAGCCAGCTCAGTCCTGATGTACCCCAGAGCCAACTAGCTACTTAGAGCCCTTGTTCACATCTAAGCCCCAGTGGGATTCTCCTCTCCCTGTTGTAGGAGTCTATTAGGTGGGCTCAGAGTACACTTAACCCAGCAGGGGACAGCAGGTGGCTGGCAGGCATAGGTCGCAGAATAGCAGATAATGCAGTGAGACACCCAGGTTGGAACTCCCATGCTGCCTAATATGAAGCTAGGACTAGGCATGTTAAATTGCATTTAATTAATTAGTCGATGGAATTTCCAGCAGAGTCTCTATATATTTAAAAAGCTGAAGCACAGCTGGTGGGGACAAGCTGATTCCTGGCTCACACTTAATTCCCCTCACTGCGTTTCAGCCTTTTAAATAAATGCATTAAGAACCTGGCAGCTCTTAATATATTTAAAAAGCTGAAGTGCAGTGTCTGGGACTGGGCACGAGCCGGGAATCAGCTGATTCCCAGCTAGCACCCAATCCCCTGCTATGTCTCTGCCTCCCCCATTCCCTGCAGAGATGGTGCTGGGAGGAACCATCTTTTAAGCCAGCTCTCCCAGCACCAGCTCCAGAGGCAGCAAAGGAGGGGGGAAGTGACTAGTCGAGCCACTACTCAACTATCTGATAAACTTATATTTATTGGACACTCGACTAGTCGTTTACATCCCTAGCTGGGACCTGCAGCTGATTCTTCCACTGTCTAATGGAGCATTCTAATCACCAGTCTATATAGTCACATTTCCTCTCTGGCCTAATGAATATTCACTGAGACCCGTGTTTCCCAACTGGTGCGAAATTAAGGGTTCTGCCCCCTCTTAAAGAGACAGTCAATTAAATGCCACAGTGGGGCTTTTTTTTTTTGGTTCAATAAAATGTGGTGGGGGGTTTTTGTTTTGTTTTTTTTAAGGCAACCCTAAGAGTTCCATGGCCATATAAAATTGGGAAACACTGACTTAGACAAAGCAGAATAGGTTCCCAAAGAGCCTGATGTTTAGGGCACATCGCTGGAGCATGGGAGACTTGAGTTCAAGTCAATCAGGTTTCCCACCTCCCCAGTGAGAGCCCCAAGCACAAGGCTGTTAGCTAGAATGGGATGGGACACACCAGGCTTTTACAAAAAGGTTCCTAAACAAGGTAAGTCCTTAATGCCAAGAGAAGGTCCATGGCTGAAACTCCGAAGGAGAGACAGGCCTTTGGTCAGTCAGGTGCTTAGGCTCAGATCAGTGAGAGTTAGTTAAGTATCTTTGTGGATCTTGGCCTTAATCCCCGCATCTTTCCCTTGTATTTCACTCCAGATTAGTTTAAGCAGGTCTCTCCACTCTGCTTGATGGCTTCTGAGAATCCTTTACTTAGGCACCTGTATCTCCCCTAAGAGAAGGCTGCTATTTCACTGGATGGCAGGGACCCACGAGTCTGGTGTCAACACACATAAGTCATCTTTGTGAATCTAGCCCTGAGTCCCTACTTGGAAGAGCTTAAAGTTCTATGCTAGCAGCCAGACAGATGCTATAAATTTTTTTACTTGGGTACTTCCATCATTGATAAGTGAAGATTTTCCCGAACTGCTTCCTTCAGTCTAGTTCAATGACGGCTGATTTCTTGCAAGTGTTTGAGGGCAGAAAGCTTTCATTATACCTGACAGTGTCCATTCAAGCCACTCAATGTTCCAGGAAGACTGGGAAACACTACTGAATGCAAACAGAGATTCTTTGGCCCTCTGTATGGCTATTCATTTTGAAATGCTAACAAAAGCTAGCTGGACAGGGAGAGAGCTGGATGGGCATGAGGCTGTACAAGAAAGGATTTCCCGTTGCTTTCTAAGGAGCATTGGGAAACTGAGCTGGAAACTCTAGGAGCTACTTTATCAATAGGATGTGCATGAATTTTCGTAAGAACATTGGTGCGCCTCACAGAAACATAGTGCCACTTAGTGCAAGCCTAGCAGACAGACTTGGTACAACAGCCAGGCCTAGCACACCTCTGGACACTCAATGCTATTTTTATATGGAGCAAAATGATTCTGAAAGCTGGAGAAGTTTGAAGCTAGAAATGCAGGTACTTTATGGATCTCTTTGCTCTAGTATCCCAATCCCTATATTTGCCTTTGGTACAACAAGCACAAACCTGCTACTAGGGCAAGTCTCTCCTTCCTTTCTCAGAAGCCCAGAGACATTCCAGACCCCAAAGTTTGCTAGTTAACCATAGTCTGTAGCCTCAGACGGAGAAGAGGAACAGGGATGGATGTGTGCAGTCTCCTAGGAGTGCTGTCACTCAGGGAGCAAAGAAGTGAAGCTGCCTAGCAAAGGGCTTCGGGAGGTACTGGAGAAGAGGAAAACAGTAAGTGCTTCCAGTGCTAGGCGAAAGGAGGAGCCTTGACAGCAACTCCAAGGGGCCGGGGTGGGACCCTAGGAAGCCCTAAAGGATGCGACCCAAGCCGCCCAGAGGAGAACACCCGCTCCAAGAGGTCCCTGCACCTTTCCCCCTGCCAGGTTTCGTGGGCTCCCCAGCTCCGAGCTTGTTCGGGTTCAGCCGGCGTCCCTGTCCCTTCCCTGCCGGATGGGGAGGGGCTGTGTGCTCCGGGGCTACAAGAGCATGGCGCGGCGCGCGGAGGAGGGGGGGGGGAGACACGGAGCCGCCAAGTTAGCGTCTGCAGCGTCCCACGCAGCCGGGCAGGGCGGAAGCCACTCACCGCAGTCCAAGAACTTGAGAGGCTCGGCCCGCGCCACGGAGCCGAGGGCCAGGAGCAGGGCTACGGTCAGGGCGAGCATGGTCTCAGCCGGCGCGTGATCTGGGCGAGGATCTGTGAAGTGCGGCGCAGCCTGAGTCAGCCGCAGCAGGTCACCTGAGAGCAGCGGGCCTAGGCCCGCCCATGCGCTCAGCTGACTGCGAGGGAACCAGCCCTCCCCGCGGGCAGGCGGGGCTTGGCCTTCTGTGGCTCGGGGCCAGGAGAGAGCGCAGGGACTGGCCCTCCAGCCTGGGGGCAGCCTACGGGACTCTGCTCTTCCCCTTAGACTCCTGGCTCTAGGCGCCCGGGCCCAACCACCATTCAGATAAAAGCCCTCCAGCGTGATCAGGCCGGCCAGACACCCCCAGGGCCCGGCCCAGCCGCACAGAAGCGTTCAATAGCCCCACGAGCCCTGAGATGTGAGTCTTTGGCCCCTTTTTGGTTCGGAGTTTAAGGGGCCCTCGGATTTTATTCTAACATCCCCCCCCCCAAGAAAAGGGCTAAAACCCTCCTTTCTCCACCCAACCCTGGCTACAAAACGGAAAGCTGAGGTTTCTCCCTGACCTCTTGCTGTCAGGAGTGGCGCTCAAGAAAAACAGTGTCACAGGACTTGTGACTTTTTTCTTAATCATAAGAGCTGGCAGCAGCACTGAGCTAGTTTCTGCCACTGGACCAAATGTATCTCCCACCAGCTCCTTTGCCTCTGGAGAAGGCATGTCATAGCTTAATTCTGGTTTGAAAGTAGCACTTTTGAAATGCCTGGCCCTGACCCAGCAGCCATCTCCCACTCCAAAATCTACCCCTAGAGCAGAAGCAAAGAGGAACAGGTGTATGTAAAGCAGCCAGCAATTCTCCACATTTATTCTACTTTATGAAGATTTAAGACAGAACCCACAGCTCTGCCCACCTCATCTTAAAGACTCCTCACCCAGTCACCTTGCCCAACACACTCAGAAAGGAAGCCAGTTTAAATGGGTAATAGGGCCAGCTCTCTCCCTGTACATGACCAGCATCAGCCCACATTTGGGATGTGTTCCTGCAGCACTCTTACCCCTTACACATATGTAACAGAAAGGCATTGGGGCACCCCCACAGAATCTCTTCTACCTATTGGAGCTGCTTAGCAAAATAGCCTTTTCTCAAAGACTTGCGGGGACACAGGATAAGGGATCCAGTCTGAGCCCCAAGCTCCAACCTGTTCTCTTCCCCATACAGAGGGCTTGCAGAGCCACCTCTTTCCACTTGCAACAGAGCAGTACAGGGCAATAGGCTCCTGGCACTTCCACACACTGCTCAGAGAGTGGAAACAGGAGAGAGATTGGCATATGCCTTCCTCTTCAACATACACCTGCTCCAAGACCCTGGGGCAGGGAGGGAAAACTGGCCTGCTCTCATCTGTCTGAAGTATCACCTGTGCAGCTGTTCATCATTCACAGTGTCCTTTTCTTCACCTAGAATCATAGAATCATAGAGCTGGAAGAGACCTCAGAAGGTCATCAAGTCCAGCCCCCTGCTCTAGGCAGGACTAATCCCAACTAAATCAACCCGGCCAGGGATGTGTCAAGTTGAGACTTAAACACCTCTAGGGATGGAGACTCCAGTACTTCCCTAGGTAACCCGTTCCAGTGCTTCACTACCCTCCTAGTGAATACTTTTTCCTAATATCCAACCTGGACCTCTCCCACCACAACTTGAGACCATTGTTCCTTGTTCTGCCATCTGTCACTACTGAGAACAGCCTCTCTCCATCTTCTTTGGAACCTCCCTTCAGGAAGTTGAAGGCTGCTATCAAATCCCCCCTCTGGCTTCTGCAGACTAAACAGACCCAACTCCCTCAGCCTCTCCTCATAAGTCATATGCTCCAGCCCCCTAATCATTTTGGTTGCCCTCTGCTGGACCCTCTCCAATGTGTCCACATCCTTTTTGTAGTGGGGGCCCAGAACTGGACACAATACTCCAGAGGAAAGCAACAAGGATAGGGCACCGGTGGGACTGAGGTATTGAGGAAAAGTTTAGGGGTCACATTCTTTCTTGGTTCATCGCTCTATCTTCTAGCACTCTCCTTTGCTCCTGCCTTTGAATGAGTTTAGGCCCTCAGAGTGGGAGTACAAGATTGTTCTACAAATGAAATAATCAGAGATCCAACCAGCTCTACATACAGTTGTAGAGAAGTTTTTAAACTAAGGGCTTGAGAGAAGCTGACAGATACAGGGGAGCACGATTCAATCCCTTAGGGTAGTGGTGCTCAACCTTTTTTAATTCACGACTCCTAGGGCCGGGAAAATTTTTGTTGAGAAAAAAAAAGCGTGCTGGGAACATTTTGTTGCGGTCCCTTTAATTTAAAGCGCTGGTCCACTCCCCTGCCATTCCCCCCACTTACGCATCAGGCGCTGAGCTGGGAAAATAAAATGGTGGCCGGCTCGGATTGAAGGGGATCACGACTCACAGGTTGTGCACTGTTGCCTTAAGGGAGGATCTATTAATGGGTATTTTCTATATTCTAGTAAGGAGGAGAGGAATATAATTGATAAAATACAGATAGGAACAGAAGTTACACAAGCAAATGAAAGTCTCATTCAATTACATAATGGCAAACTACTAAAAAAAAAAGAGAGACAGATTTTGTAGTTGCTTGTATACAAAATCTAGAAGTTTAAATACGGAGATGGGGGAACTTAAGTGCCCGGTATTAAATGAGGATATTCACGTAATAGGCATCACAGAAACTTGAACTGCTGGGAGAAGAGGGCTGCTGCAGCCCCATGGATCCAGCCACAGACGGGGGGTGCTCTAGCCTGGCTGGAGCAACCCCCATCTGCGGTGAGGCTGACACCGGTGCATTGCAGGCAGGGGCACTCCAGCCCAGCCAGAGCAGCCCCAACCCTCTCTCTCTCTGAGCACGTATGCATGTGTGTGCCCATGCAGTGGACTTCTCCAGCACAGCCACAGCCCCCTCAGCCACCCTGATTAAGTCAGCTAACTAATTAAACGGGATTTTACATTCCTAACTTGAACCATGGATCATCCAATGAAATTAACAGGCAGCAGGGTTAAAACAATCAAAAGGAAGTATTTCTTCACACAGTACACAAACAACCAGTGGAACTTGTTTCCAAGGGATGTTGTGACGGTCAAGACTATAACAGTTCAAAAACAGGGATGTTGTGACGGTCAAGACTATAATAGTTCAAAAACAACAACCCACAAATAAGTTCATGGAGAATATAAGTGTATCTATGGGTATTAGCAAAGACAATCGTATTGGAAAATCCTGGGAGGTGGGCAGACATAAGCCCACTCACTTCAAGAGGCCCTTCCCCCAGCCTTGCAGGAGGGACCACTGGATCTGGGTTCCAAGTAAATACAGGGGACAACCAATGAAAAGACAGGGTTGGGGTGCAGGTCATAGATTCAAAACAAGGATCCAGAGGAGGAAACCAAGCAGAGAACCTGGACAACATGCACTGCTCCTCAAAACTTTCTAAGGAGCCAGCAGATGCCGCCCAAAGGAACTCTGCCTGGATGTGGAGATCAGAGAGGAGCAAAAATAGGTCTCACAATCACAGAGCATCCCCTCATCCAGCATCCTCCTTCTGGTTGTGGCCTTGGCCAGTTAGACCTGGCCTCAGAGGCAAAGCCTCTGCCATACAGATGATATAAGGCCAGGTCTACACTAGGGATATAATAGTATAGTCGATTAACCAATATGCAAAAGCTTATAGGTTAATACTACAGACTACATGCATTTCTCCTCCCCTCCCCTCTCCTCTGCCAGTAAATTTTTTAGCAGGCTGGCCAGCAGCCCAGCCCAGTCTTGGCTTGTGACAGATACAGGACCTACTCCTGCTGTAACTCTGCATTTAAAGTGTATTAGGAGCCGGGTGAGCAGGCAGTCAATCCAGCTCAGTTCCAGCTTGCACCTGGTCCGGGAGCTCAGGGGCGCCTGCCACTCCGCACTACTGCCTCTTTATCAGAGGCAAAAGCACAGCGTGACAGGGGAGATGCTTTTTAAATTGGCTCCCCTCACAGACCATCTCCTGCCTAGCACCCTGCGTTGCTGCCTCTAATACGGAAGCAGCACCACAGAGGGGCAGTGGGTTCCATGGGAGTGAGGTGCACTGGCTGCTGCTCCCACTCCCGGGGACTACAGCAGGGGTAGGCAATAATTTTTGCCCAGGAGCTACTTCAAAAATTTTTAAGTAGTTCCCAGCCACCCCAGAAGAGGCGGGGCCTAAACAGGAAGGGGTGGGGCTACCCCTCCCCCAGACCATGATTGGTTTGGGGGTAGGGAAGCCCCTCCCCCCTTCCCACTAGGCACCCATGCCCTGGAAGAGGCGTGGCATGCTCCACCACCCCCGGGTCAATCAGGGCCTGGGAGTGGGGGAGCACAGGAAGCCTCCTCCCTCCCTGTGAGGTGCCACGGGCTCCTCACAGGGCTGGGGTATGGCAAAGGAAGCTTCACGCAGCTCCCTTGTCTCCAGGCCCTAATTGGCCTGGGAGCACGCAAAGCCTCCTCCGCTCCACCCCCGGCCCAGTGAGCAGCGCAGGGCTTCAAAGCTCCATATGCTGCTGGCAATGGGAGGGAGGTTTTGTGCGCTCCCCCACCCCCGGGCCAATTAAGGCCCAGGGGGCGGGGTAGCATGCAAAGCCTTCTCTGCTCTGTCCCCACTCTGCGAGCAGCGAGTTGAAGTGCCGCACGCTGCTCCCACGGTGGGGACAGCAGCAGGGTCTCTGCAGGCTGGATCCAGCCTGCAGAGGCCCTTTTGCCCACCCTTAGACTAATGAATAGTCAACTAACAAATAAGAATTCGTGAGGAGGCTGGATCCAGCCTGCAGAGGCCCTTTTGCCCACCCTTGGACTACAGAATAGTCGACTAACAAATAAGACTTCGTGAGATTATTCAACTATTCAATTAACTAATATTTAACACCCCTAGTCTATACTATGCAAGAAAGTCGACCTAAGATATGCAACTCCCACTATGAGAACAGCGTAGCTGGAGTCGATGTACCTTACTTATGTCAAATTTCTGTGGCACCTCCACTGTGGGAGGTCGACTTCCCTTACTTTTTGTGAGCCCCTGAAATACCGAGGTTGACAGGGGCATCATCAGCAGTCAATTTGGCAGGTCCTTACTAGATCCACTAA